TAACAGTAAATCGATAGAGTTTGGGTATGTTCACTTTGTGGGCAGCACGAACAGGGTACTTTCCAAGGGGGCCCATGCGGCAGCCAACAGACTTGCACAAGCATGGTGCGACTGACCAAACCAAACGAAGATGACTCCAAACTCATGTACAAAGCTTCTTTATGATTGTTAGCCATATTTCAATGTGTTTATAGTGAATTAATAGAGTTTTGGCATGTTCCCTTGTGAGGGCATGAACGGATTTCCATGGTGACCACATGTCGTAGCCAGCGGTATATGATCACAGGGCGATGAAGCGAACCACAGACGGATAACCAGAACTCATTTGCAAGTTTTTTTGAGCGATTTAGCCATATTTCTATGTGCTTAAAATGAATTGAAAGAGTTGACGCATGGTCACGTATGGGCGACGAGAACAGGGTAGCTTCCATGGGGGTGCAGGCGGTGCCTAGCGAAGTCGCACAACCATGTAGTACATGAGCCAGACTCTTGCAATTGAATGGAAATTAATGTACAAGGCTGTTTTCAAGCGGCCCACTCATGTCTCAACACCTTCACAACAAATCTTGAGCTGGGTATGTTGACTTATGAGCGGTATGAATGGGTATGTATCCGGGGGGGGGCATGATGCTTTCCAGGAAAATCGCACGGCCATGGAGCAGCCCAGCGAGAAACATGCAACTAATTCCAAACTCGTGCACAACACTCTTTTCATCATATGCCAATGTGTTTTCAGTGCAGCAAAAGAGTTTGGACATGTCCGCTGCAGGTTGACTTATGCACGGAGTTTACATAGTGGTGCATGGGGCGGCCATGGAAATCCTGCATCCATGGAATTTGCCAGCGAAACATATGCCAGTTAAATGGAAGGGCTTCTAACTGGACATGTATGCATCATTGATTTGTTTGTTTTCTTTCCTTTCCACACTTCGTTGCTTGGTTGTTGCCATATGGTCAGTTAAAACTCTGCATGTTCTCTACTATGGTTGGTGTTGGGAAAAAACACCAATACATTGGAGATGCAAAAACTTGTTTTCACTTATTCTTTTGCCCCTTTCTGGAGTGCCCACACTATGGGGAACCTGCTCTCTTTTCGGCCCTTTAGGTTGTTCTGTGGGGCGATAGCTTTTCCATTGTGTCACCCATTGCATCGTGTGCTACAATTAGCTTGCTTGCAAAATGTGACCACTGTTGTTTCGCAGTTGTGCGCATTGCAAACATAGGTGCAATAGCTTGCGCATCAATGCAATTGTGTTGGCTTGAGCGACGTAGCTTGGTTCCAAGCAAGCACATTCAGCACCTGCTCCCATTCACCAGAGGACAGTGGCACCTGTGCTCATCTATGTGTGCTGGAAATTCGCAGCACCCCAGGCTCACCGTGAAAAGTATGTGGCGCTGAGTTCCACATTTGGGAACCGTGGAAGAATGTGCTTGCCTTTTTAGATGTGACGTGGAGCTGCAAGCCAGGTGCTTAGATTTTGAATAGCAAAAATTTCTTGCAGTGCAATGTGCCATTGCCTTGCAGGAGGTGACCATAGTGCAGTGCGCCAGTGTCTGCTGCAGGCTTGCCGCGAGGTATGCATTGATTGCAATTTACCTTCAGCAGCGCTTTGTGCTGGCACCTGCATGCTGGCACATGCATGGGAAACTGCAAAACGCTCGTCTAGGTGGCCAATAAATCCTGTGGACATGCTCAGTGCCAGAGGGCAATGCCTTTTCAAGCTACATAGGCGGAGACATGACGTTCTCATAGTGGCACAAGTCGCGGTAGGCAAATCTCATTAGCAACAACAAGGAATGACACAGAACAGAGGCAATGATCACAGATTCTGTTACATCTCTTCCCATAGTCCAATAACAATCTTCCACAGGACAGTGGACCAGCCACATCCAGTGTCGCCGTTGCATTGGCAGCCTCAAGAAAGGACGAGGCATTCCGACCTTCAGCTGCTGGTCCAGGCACGGAACACATGGGCAACTGCAAAGCCAACACACAAGGATCAATAACGCTGATGGTGCATTGACACGCAAGGCAACTGGGTGGAGGTGCCTTGGTAACTGCTGCTAGCCCGAATGCCAAAACGCACACCACACGCACGCATGCACATATGAACGCATGCACACGCACATGCTCTGTGTGTGGCCAGGTGCAAGGGCCTTGTTTTATCAGGTGCTTTTGACGATTGTCACAAACGGAGTTCACACAAGCATGCACCGTCTTCACCCTGCTGCAAGAGCATCCATACAGAATTCAACGCTGAGCCATCCGTACCCCATTTGCAGGCCTATAGCGCCTGCAATATTGGTGGAAAAGGAGGGGCTTCGCCTCGTTAATTTGTAATGCCATCTTACCCCATTGCAAGTGGCATTTCATCACAGATAAGTAGTCAAATGCAGTTCCCACAGTCCAACACTCGCCCTGTAAACGACTGCAGGCCCAGGCGAAGTAAAGAACGACTCATCTGCTTCTGGTTGAATAAAGGACAATGCACTTTAGCCATAGCATGGGATTGACCACAGCAGCCCTGCCATAATGTGTTGTGCTGGCTTACTGCAAGCGATCAAGCACACGAAAGTTTCGAAGGGTCCCCACCCAACTGTGTGAATGTGAACTGACACTGTTCTTTAACTGTCATTGCCAAGCAATGACCATCACTAGAAGGACCCCCAAAGTTTGCTGTTGTGAGTCCACACAAGCTACAAAATGCTTGGAACCCAAAGAATCTCTGCCACCACTGCTTTTGTACAGCTTCTGCAACATTTTGGGCACCATTCTCTCTTGTGTCTTTGTGCTGAACTGTGCTCTTGAGCTTGATAACTAATGGTGCACAGTGCTATACCCTCGTCCCTTCCCATTATTGACCATTGATCAAGCAAACTACGATACACTGCACCCCAACCTGCACTTGGCCTTTGCCTTGGAAGTACGTCTGCCCGTGCGAGCTTCAGCAACAACAACGACCTGAACAATGCCTTTTGGTGGGTCGCCCACAACCCAATGAGGTTGTGCCCGAATCGACATATTAAGAGCGTGGCGTAGCAATCACCGCACCAACCACAATCAACCAACAAGCATCCTGCAGACAAAAATATGCTTGCTTGTTTGAGCTGCATTTGGGAACTAAAGTCTCTGTGTTGTTGCATTACAATTGGCAATGTTGCAATCAAGTTCAATACTGTTCGCGTGTTGTGCCTCTGCAAAACATCTGATCCCACCTGCAGATGCCAGGAAGGCCGCGCAACATGGACAACAGCAATGGCAAATTTGTGCATCAAGCACCTCCCTATTGGAGCTGCACACAACGGTGGTGGCACAACGTATTGTGATTTTATGTCGTTGTTGGAAGAATCCCTGTGTGGCCAATGTATACTCACAAGTGACAGAGGCAGGTGCCGCCGGGGACCTTTGTAGCGCAAACGAATTGCAGCAGGTGAGCGAGTGCTACGCACCCAAACACCAGCCAGGGCAGGCCGCATCAATGGCAGCAAACAAGGTAGCAATCCCCTCTGATTGCTGCCCCCCCCCCCCACCCCACCCTCAGGAAAACCCATATGCACCTTTTCTGCACCAATCCCCCACATCGCCACTGCGCACCTCTCCTCGGCGCCGATCCAGCCCCTTCCCTGACCTTAACCGGCGCTCCTCGCCCTGCGCCGATACCCCAATCCCAAACCCCAGCCCCGCGCGCCAATCCGGCCCTTCCCCGCCCTAGTTCTGCGTTCACCCAACGCCATGACGGCCCATTCCCCTAGAACCATTCGGGGAGGCCGTGCCGAGCGCCAGGTGCGCTGAGAGGCACCTGGCAGTGAGTGCGTGGGACCGCGCGGCACCTCAGATGGCCCATGCATTTCCACGCACCTGCGCAAAGCGCCGCGGCGATGCCCAGCCACCTGCCCGCCGCCCTTAGAGAGGAATCTCCAGCCCAATGGGAGCCTTCAGCGCCTCTCTCCGTGGGCGCCGCCGTCGCCACGTTTCGCACACCGCGGGCCCGCTGGCGGCCGCCCACTGGATTGGCGCACGGAAGCCACGGATTACTACCCTGCGGGATTCCCGCACGCCCTGGCGGCTAAAGTACTAGGGCGTGCGGGATTCCCGACGGGATTCCCGCGCGGGACAAGGCAGCCAACTTGGATGCGCACAATGCATCCAAGTTGGCTGCACCCAGGAAATATGCACGAGACACATGTGACGCCTGTCAATGGGTCAACAGTTCAGGGTTCAGGGTGTCCGAAACAAGAAGGGATCTTCACGCAAAGGGGGCTAATTTCATGTCCAGGTATCGAGGATCGACACCGTGAATCGGGTGCCAACTCGACGGCAATAATGCGTTTTGTTCCTTTTGTTGTTCGGGCATCTTCTTTTTGCCACGCATGTCTCGTTCCTTTCCTGACACGTTTCCCGACATGTTAAATAACTGTCGTTTTCCGATGCAGCGGGCTCTTTTTCTTTTTCATTACTTTGTTTTCAGTAGTTTGGGTTTTGGTTGCGCTGACTGCCGAAGAGAGGGGGAGCGGACTCCATGAAAAATGCCGCCCTTACTGTTCGCCCCCCATCCCTTGTCATGCCATCGGCGCCGCTGCCCTCGAGCCGGCACTCCAGTTCGTCCAGTACCCACCAAGGCTCTCTCCACGACGTAGGTCCTAACGCGGAAAACAGGAGCGGAAGGTACAACTTAGGGAGCCACGTGTATTTTCGCTGACAGGTGATTGCCAGGGCAAAGCCCTGGTGTGATGCCTGGGGACGGCTGGACCTGGGCCAGCGGGAGGGGTCGTACACACAGGCCAGGCTAACGGGTTGCCTCGCCTGTGGTGGTGGCGCCCAGCGCTGGTGGTGGGCGGTAGAAGGGGGTCCCCAGGCGGCCTGGCGCGGGCCACAGCGACAACTGGACAGCCGCACGGTTGTGTGACATCTGCCGTCCCGTTCTGGCGAGCCCCGGTGGCGACGCGCCCCGAGGCGCCACGGTCGCGCGAGGGGTGGCGATCCGCGGCCGGCATTGGCGATGGGGGGCGTGCGGTGGAGCAGGGTTAATGGCGTGGTGGGCGCCATCGTCGCCCTCTTCTTCGGGCTGTATTACAACTGCGCGTGTTGCGCGGTGAGTCCGGGAGAATGGCCACCTTGGCCGCATTTGGACCTGCATGCGATGTCACCCGTCTTGCTGTGGGAAAATCCCGCGAATTTTTTTCACTGTGTGCTCATTTTGGCGAGTTGGCTGGCTGCTGTTGGCCTCCTGATGTTTTTCTCTTTTTGGTGCAACATTTGATTGATTGAACTTGGGGGTTTATTGACCAATGGGGCACGCCCTCGCCCCGCCTGCCCCCGCAGATTCTACCTTGGCTCAGCTACTCGGTGCCGGGCGTAGTGAATCTGGCGATCCTAACAACGGCAACGTCGCTGTCCCTGGCCTTCTTCCTGATGTGCGTCGTGGTGGACCCCGGAGGGTGAGTGGCTCTCCGCTGCGAGGCGCAAAATTGCCCACTGCTCTATTTGGAACATTGGACATCATTCGATCGCCGCTCGGACTTGAGTCCGACTACCCCAAAGTGCCTTTGTCCACTCCATGTCAAATGGCACCCTCCATGCTTCTATCAAGAGAATTTGCAGCAGCACCAGTCCCGATGTTCTCGTAGGTGCGCCCCCATAGATGCTCTTCCTTTGCCAGACCCTTACCCCACGCTGCAGGCCTGCAGCGCCCTGTCAGTGGATGGGCAAAGAAATTTGGACTCCAAACAGGTAAACCGAACAAGGAATAGAGCGATCTTCCCCGCGCTGCAGCCTATCACCAGCCTACTACTGGCCAATGCGGTTGGTTCAAGAGATGATGCAAAGCTGCATCCAACGCTATTGTAGGAATTGCCAATTTCTGCCCATTCAAGGCGATCCATGCCAATACTGAGTCATGGGTTTCAATCCCCAGGGTGCCTGCAGACTGGCGGCCTGATGAGGAGGACCCCACAGCGCTTGTTCAAGTCAAAAAGACGGCAAGTTGGCAGCTCTGCTGCACCCCACATGCACTGCCCAATGAAAGAGCTATGAAAGCATAATTCCCCATAACACCTTGGTGGACCCTCTTGAGTCTATTGCTGCGGACTGGAGAATGGTGTCAAAGGCGAATCTGTTGTGGGCCGCCTGTTGTGACAGTGTGGTTCCGATCACTGGACTCTCCTCGAAACAAAGTTGGGAACAGATACATTTGTTTTCTCCCCTTTTTTCCCCGTTTCCGCTGTTTTGCACTGCTCTCCAAGGGTTGGTTGTAAAATTCAAAAATAAAATCACTGCCAGTGTGGAAGCGATGCAAGCTCATGGCTAGCCTTTGCACCTATTGAGCCATGCCTGTTCAACTGTTCAACTAGGAGTTGATGCAAGGTAGCAAATGGCTTTTATCTGTTGGCTGTGAAAGTAGCCATTCTGGGCACGACTGCACAGATCTTTGCCAATCAATGATTCACAATAATCCATTTTCATTTGGGCACTGATGATGCACTCCATTCCCACATTTTTGCACAGACAGGTGGAGTACGGTACTGCCAGAAATGCAAGAAACATAAGCCACCACGTGCCCACCACTGCAGAGTGTGCAAGCGATGCATTCTGAGAATGGTATGTGGCCATCCTTGTACCATGCTCTTGCTCTTGCTGGTGGGCAGGGTCGCAGGATTATATGGTACCATGGACAAGAGTATGACAGAGGGCAGAGGCTGGCAATTTTCTTGGCCGTTTGGTTTGTGAACGTGTAGTTTCTGTTCCACGCACAGACCATCTTTGTTTTGGCTTGTGGCAGCCAGGCAACCTTGACGTTTAGGGAAGGTGTTTGGTTCAATACCCCGGCTTGTTTGCACGTGTCAGTTTGGTGTTTGCAATTCTGACAGGTTGAAACAGAACCTGCAGCATGATGGCACCGACTCTGAGAGCTTTAGGATTGGAGATAATGGAAGGGTTGCACATGCTTTGGAACTATGACCACCCATTATTGCCAAGAGAAATCTTCATATCCACACACTTCCCATGCTGATTTGAAGACTGATTGGAGCTCAGGGAGTTCAGTATGCTCATCCATGCATCCCAGGCAGCTCTAAGCTCACAACCAATGGACTGCCCTGTCAAATATCCATACGTGCTCTTGCACATGGAGCACCACTGGCCAGCAACACTACAAACGGAAGAGCAAAGGCAATTGAGCAATGTTGCCCTCCCGTCAAATGTACCCCACTTACCTACTCTTTATGTGGTGTGGGCACAGCAGTGTTCTTTTGCCCAGCAATGTGAATACAGGACCAATTGTTATTTCTTTGTGCTGCTGTTGTAGATTTTGCGCTCCACTCTGGCTGCATTCATCCAACGTAGCAAACCATTGGAACCCTGAATGTCCTGGGCGATCCTGTGGTACCCCTATGTTTCAGGTGTTTGCATTTTGATCTATTCGTTTTCTGATCATTGTTAACATGGCCCTGGCACTGTGGTGTGCAGGACCACCATTGTCCATGGATCAACAACTGCGTCGGCCACCACAACTACAAGGCGTTCTTGCTGTTCCTCTTATGTATGCCCACCATCCTCCTGCCATGCCTGCATGAATCTAAAGAAATGTGACTTTGCTCTCCAGTCCACCAGCGCTAGTGTGTGTTCCCTCTTGATGCTGACTTGTGGATGTTTTTGTGAAGTGGCCATCATCGCCCTCATCCATAGTGGGACCGTCCTTGCATTCCACCAGCGCCATACGATGCGGTACGAGTTTGTGTGCCGTGCGCAGAATTCGGCTTTTGAAGACACACTTGAATTCTGCTGCAGTAATGGGCATGGTGTTGCTGTTCACAAGAATTGTGCACTTTGCCGGAATTTTGATGCCTTCATACATTGTATGTCCTAGAATAACAGCACTGACTGCGAGAGTCTTTCATGGTTTGTGGTACGTTTTTGTATAATTATCATATGTATTTCTTGTGTATTAGAGTATTGCTTGTGTTTGTAAATGCCTGGCACACTGTTTTGCATGGTTGCACTTCAGTGTTTAATGGGGCCTGCATTCCTGATGCAGCGATCTTCATTAGAGGTTGCAGAAAGAGGCATTGATCAGCGCGTTGTCTATGGCACAAGCACGACCCATATGTCAGGAGGCTGTTCACATGGTCATCTATATGCAGTTATCGTTATCCGCTTGACAGTGGACAAGAGAAAGCATGCAAATCAGAAGACAGGAAACCTTCTTTTGAAGTACCTCTCCAGACAGACATCATGTCTTGGAAAATGTTAGCTCTCATGATTAGCTGTTGTAACATTGAGCACATTGAAGGCATTTTGTGAACGACAGGGCATACCAGAATCTGCATGGTCCAGTTTGAGGAAATGCTTCATTACTGGTGTTCACAAAACTGTTTTATTGGGCTTCTGTTGGCAGCTTCCAAGTTTTCTACCCCTGTTTGCAACACAATGGCTGCCATTTATCTTCTTCATCATTCTGAACTCTACACTGCATTCGAAACTTCGTGTGCTGCTCCCGTCCCATGCTACGGATCTGAATCTTTTGTCACTTCAAGGCGATTCCTGGCAACATAAGGAGGTGTGCTGGGTTACGTAACAGCCTATCACCACCACACAAGCTGAAATAAGGCAGCCCATTCCAACGATTGGGTTTGGCGTTGTTGCATGCTGCACCCATGCATTGCAATGGTGGATGTGTTAGGATGTTTACAGTTGAAGTAACCATATAAATTGTTCCCTGCTCCAAATTGACCGTTTGCTGAAACGGCTCGTTTGCATTGGCATCATCCTTCCCGATGGTGTTTCCAGAGATTCCATTTACCTCTGTTCGGTATGCTTGATGATTGAAGAGAAGTCTGACACATCAATTCTCCATCTGTACAGGCTCATCCATGGTCGCCAGGACAAACCTCACCAAGGAGTGGAGCCCTTCAGTCTCTCATCCTGGGGGGTGTTTATCCAGGTAATGGACATGAAAATTGAATACCCAGTTGTGCATTGCACTGTCCCGTTCATCCACTGGTGGTACTGCTCTTGGCTCGTGGGGATTGACAAAGGATGCAGGGCAGATGTCCCCATGCACAAGTTGCTCCATCTGATGTATTGACGATAGAGAGATGCGCCGCCACGATGTCACTTCTATTGCTCCACGTGGATTGTGAGGAATGATGGCCAGCGGAGATATGCTTATTAGCAGAACATGTGACTTTTGGCTGACCTTCTGCACTTCACATGAAAGGTAAACAGCGGGTTTTCAAGTCAGCCCAGCATTGGGCACAGCACGGAGCATCGGCAGGGAAGTTTCAAGCCAGTCAATGCCTGAGTACCTGCATCTTTGCTGCTGGGCCGCTGCTGGGCTGTCCTCCCTACAGCCAAGGCTCGAAGAACATACAACACCAGTCCAGAAGTCGGGCCTTCGGCCCCGACGTTCTGCACTTTTTCGTTCCTATGCTATCTACTCAAAGCCACTGACTCGCTGGCCAGGCTGGGTTGCGCTGTTGCGTTGTTCATGTTTTCCATTCCCTGTCGATTCGCTCATCACGTTCTTTGCTATGTCCTTTGCCACTGCCGCTGCGCTGAGGGCTGCACAGCACTGCCGCGTGAGTTTGCTCCCGCTATGCTGCACGGGGAGTCCTTGTTGGGAGCTGCAACTTCGACCATTGAGTTTTGGGACGCGAACCATCGCCGCTGCGGCCATCGGCCCTGGACGCCGCAATGATGCGGCATCGCATCGGAAGATGGGCGTCGAGCGTAAGCGGGCACCGAGCACCGCAGCCACGACAGCGGTAGCCGCACCCCTCCCGTCGGCCACCCTTGAGCGTACCTCAAAAATTCCACGGAGCCCCCCGCCAATCCGGATTGGCGGTAGGATCCTACCGCTTTCAGCGATTGAATTCTCCACCATCGCCAGCATGCCTCACAGGATTGTTGGCCTTGCCTTTCCCAAGGAATCCCGCCTTGGATGGGGCACTTGCTGCACCCTTCCCGATTGCGACAATCCCTCCCAACTTCGACCGTTGAGTTTTGGGACCCAAGCCATCGCCGCTGCGGCCATCGGCGCTGGCGATGGCTGTCAACGCCAATGCGACGACAGGGAATCGTGTCCCACTGTCGCAACGCGCGGCTCCACACCTCGAGAGAAGGCGCTGGGTTTGGCGTGGCCTCTACCGGGATCGCCCACCACCATCGCCGTCGCTCGCCATCGCCACGAGCGTGATTCGCAAGCCATCGCCGCAGCCGCGTTGCCCTCAAGCGACCCAAAAGTGGATTCGACACTCACGACCCGTGATTGAGACACACAGCGCTGTGATCGGGATGGCGGAGGTCCATGCCCCACCCCGTGCTCGCGCTCAAGCGCGCAACCCGACCCGGGTGGGAGCCGCACACCCGCTCTCCGCTTTCCAAAACTTCTCTCCAGGGCCCGGGGGCCCCGAACGCTTGGTCTTGAGGGGCGCGCTGATTGCATCCGGTGCCGCGTTCGCTGCGCCGATGGTTGCCACAACAGGGCGCTGAAAGGCTCTGGAGTACCTACGCAGCCCGACTGGAGCCCTCACGGGAACGGCAACGCCGAGCCGCGCGCTTGGGCGCAGGCCATCGCCGTTGTGACGATCGGCGCAGGCGATGGTCTCCATTGCCGCCGCGACGACGCGGAATCGCGCCAAGAAACGTCCGCCTCGAGCGCAAGCGCGCACGCAGCGCCGCAGCCGCGGCACCTATAGCCGTGCGCCTGCCATCGGTCGCCCTCGAGCGCAGCCAGCAGCCCACCCCGGGGGGCCCCTGCCCACGGCACCCGACTCGGAGAGTCCCGCCACTCACGTAACCCCCATGTCACAGGGGTCGATTCTTACACAAGAACGCTGAGTCAGACTTTAAAAAATTCATTTCCGGGGCGCTCTTAGCCGCGTTCCCAGCATATAATATAAGACCATCTTGTTGTCGCAAAACGCTCCTGCCACTACCCCTGATCAGGGAATATTGCAAAACACTGGTGTGTGTTTTCAAGCACTTCCTTTGTGCTGGATGACCAAGGTCTTAAACAGGCGCTCTGACACCAGTTGGAGGCACTGTGTTTGGACGGGGGTCGGTCCAACGTGGGCTGTCATTCCGCTTCTTCAACTGTCGCTGCTGCCGATGCAGGTGACACTCCTGATCCTGACGTTCGTTCTTGCTATTGCGCTGGCGTCGCTGATGGGTTGGCACATTCATCTCGTGATTTCCAACAAGACCACCATCGAATATCACGAGGTGAGGTGCCGAAAGCCGTCCTCCTCAACAACGAAAAGGAGATGGTGTTCTGCTGGGGCCTCCTTACCCCCTTTGTGGGAATATTGCAAAGAATGAACACACTCAGCTGGAGAACTCGTGAACAAGCTGACTTGCTTGATGCCGTTGCTTCTCGACCTACAGAAAGTGAACCCGCGGCACAACATTAGGATTCCTAATGTTCCTAATTTAGGAATTCCCAATTTAGGAAGAAGTTACCGGAAGAGATTGGTTGTAATGTTGACAGTAATCGTTCATACCGGAACTGGCCTGGTGTGTACGTTTGCAGAATCGTCGAAGCTTGGCTGGAGAAAAGGTTGTCAAAATGAACTTGTTTGTAGTTCTGGTTAGAACATTCCAAGTCGTTGGATGTAGCCTCCCTCGAGTTGGAAGTCGAGCCCCAGAATGGGCGACAGACAGCTGCAATGCGACTGCGCGACGACCGAGGACCGGCTGTGAATTGCTGACGTGTGGACTGGAAGACGATTCCACGTACCTGAACGCTGAGACTTCACTCGATTCCAACAGCTCATCAGCTACAAGAAGACTGAAATCCCCAGATGGCTTGCTCAACTGATAGGATGACCATTTTTTCGAATGACTTAACTCGTTGACGAATTAACACAGCGCACACGTTGGTGTTCCCTTTGGTGTAGTTGCGCTTTCTTTGTACAGTCAGCACAGTGTCCCATACTTGTGCTTGTTTCTTTTCTTCCAGGGTGTGACGGCCAAGCTGAAGGCCTCCAAGATGGGCCGATCTTGGGAGCACCCGTACGATGTTGGGCTGGCGGGCAACCTGGTAGACATGTTTGGCGACGGCCTATTCCAATGGCTACAAATAAGGGCCGGCCTGCGCGGCACGGGAACTTCCTTTCTCACTATTTTGGATGACAAGCAGCGGACCTGAATGTTGGGGGGCATTCTGGCGGGGGGATGTTGTAAATTATATTGAAAGATTGAACGGGCGCCGAGGGCTGCAGCAAGCGGAGGCACTGCTGTGGTGCGCCTTGTGCGACTGGCTTGCGGCACCGCTACCCTGCTGTTGCCTGAAGCCGACATGCAAGCAACTAGAAGGCAGTGATGTGGGGCCAAGGACCCCCCAGGGTGGCACCATGCAGATGCTGACGGCCGCCAGGGCTTGTGCATCCTGATGCGAATCGCGGTTACACGTTGAAGGACACCTGGAGCAACGCACAGGTGCTTTTTGTTCGAACTATAGTGTAACACATTGGAATTCAAAAAAAAAAAAAACGCACAGCTGCCAGCCGACCGTGTCACGACGCACACCAGCAGGTAAATGTTACAAGTCCCCATAAAATTTTGACACCACGCATTCATTGTCCCCACCGCGGGCAGCCCCATTGTCCAGCGCCCTGTGACGGAGACACGCCTTCCTGACAGCAAGCAGGAAGGCAGCCCTCTTGACACGCCAGCCTCCGCAGCGGGTTGGGCCTCCCTGGTCATCGTGCTGAGTCCTCCACCCGTCACAATACCGGCGGCTCTGCCAACGCCCGTCCAGCGTCACAAAACAACATTGCAATTGCCAACAGGCCATCGTTGTTCTGCACAACGCTGTGGCATCGCCACAGCACGAGGCTCCGCCAGACGCATGGCTCGGTGCGAAGGCAGTACGACCTTCAAGGCTCCAGGCCGGCCATCACGTCAAGCACATGGAGGACATGCTGAGCCATCTGCCTCCTTTCCGGGTCGACTTTTGGTGCCGGGCCACACGTTGACCCCCTTCCCGGGTCTGCCAAGCCGCTCTTAGTAGCCGCTGTGTCTACCAAAGCCTTTGGTTTCAACACAGGTCCATCTGCTGCCCCAAGGCCCCCATCGATGCTTCCTAGTAAACCCTGGTCACGCACAGGTGGACAAGCCCCACAATCGCCCTCGACAAAAGTTCTCATACCAATCCCAGATCGCGCTTTCAGATGGCCACAATGCTGGCCTTGGCTGACGGGCTCCAGCTCCATGGCAGCGCTCCGTTCCATGCATGTTGGCACAACCGTTGGCGTGGATAAGGCGACCGTCAAACGGGGGCTTGATGGCAGTTCTGCCGTGCCAACGGCACCAATCCCGGCATCAGGCCCCAAACCACTTGGCGGGAAAGACGTCCTGCAGCCATGCTCCCCTTCGCACAACGGCAGCTTGGTACCGTCAGTCTGAGCACAGCTCAGCGCACCCACCGTGCCTGTGAGCTGGTGCCCGGTGTCCTGCAGCTGTGTACCCCCATTGGAGTACAGAGAACTGCTCGATGAACCCACAATGCCCTTGGTGGGCTGCTGGGGGGACTGCGAATGCGCTCCATGGGGACCATACTGAGCACGGCTGGGTGAACCCGTCATGTCTGTGGGCTGCTGCTGGGTTTCTCCCAGTAGTGTTCCAGCAGTGGAATACTGGGCACAGCTGAATGCACCTGCAACACCTGTAATGTGCTGCTGGGGGCGCTGTGAAGGCGCACCAGAGGGGAGAGACTGGGAACAGCTTAATGAACAAGCGCCGCTGGCGAGCTGCTGTTGGGTTTGAGGCGACATCTGCTCTGGAGCTTTGGCAGGGGATAGAGGCATCGAAAGCTGGCACGAAGAGTTCCCCGCTGCACGACCATGGGACGTCTCCCCTTTGGGCAGTGGCAACGGGAACACATTGTCCGAAGCTAGAGCATTGGCATCTTGAGAGGGGCCTATTGTCGAAATTTGTTCCAGCATAACTTCTGGCATTACCACCTCTGTCCTGCATGCATCGTGCCGGTGTTCTCCATCTGATCCCATCAATTTGTCAGTCCCCTGAAACTCCGGAGCGCCTGCTGATGTCCACCGATCCACAGTTGCAGGTGGAGTCCGTTGGAGTACAAATTCCTTGCATCGGCCATCCAAGCGTTTGGGCGATGGCACAGGGTCTGTTGGCTGGACCTGAGCAGACCGCAACCTCAATACAGGGTTCGAGCGTTCCAGGGGTTGGTCGCAGCGGATGCCCAGGCCGTTCGGTGGCCCATTGTCCTCCCCCGTTGTCCCTTCCCTTCCCAAGGGAATGATGCTCTGTGATGCAGCTTGCGACGCAGCACCCAGGGTATCAGCTGCAATGGATTGTGATCGTGTGCCATCTTGAGGGTGTCCCTGCCATCCCCCAGTCATCATGGGGCCCAATGCTCCTGCTCCCTGCATGCCAAAAAGGGACTGATCCTGCACTGTGCTTGGTCCACACGTGGGCCCACCAGCCCACAGGCCATGGGCCGAGGTGAGGGCCGAGGGGCAGGCCAGGCCCCCCGGCCTCGTCTGGGGGTGACCACCCAACGAAAGACTGCAGTAATCAATGGGGCTGGACATGATATTCTGCGAAGTGGCCACAGCCAGGCGATGATCAGGAGGAGCAGTGCATGGCAGTTGCTGAGAGGGTGGTGCCGAGGCCACTGGCAAGCCAGCGCCGCAACTGAGGGCTGTTGCATTGAATACCGTAGAACATCTCTCATCATGGCTGGTCCTTGCAGGCTTGCCCCATAATCCATTGGCCAGCGCCGGAGTGATCCCTTGTCGTGCGCCACCAGCAGGTTTGGGGCCTGATGGGTCACTCCTCCCAACCTGGCGAGCTTGTTTGGCGGTGCGCTTACTCCTCTTGTCTTTCACAAGCCACCTTCGGTCAGATGCCTTGGGACTCCTGCACCTATGCGATCCTTGCCTGGCCCCTTTCTGCGCACGGTCGTCATAAAGCGACCTCAGGTTGGGTATAAGCTGCTGTCCTTGGGTCTGCCCAACCAACTGCAGCCGAGGGGTACCATCCACACCCCGAAGCTGATGTGCAGACCACCACCCAGAATGGCGCCCCGAGCGCTTGTGATCCAGAGACTCCTTTTGGCAGGCAGGTACCCCACTGCTGGCCTTGGCCACAGCAGTCGGCACAGCGACCGTGCAAGCCCAAGGCTTGGGGCCCTCACTTGGCACAGGTGGCGATCTCATCGCCATGTTCGACGACTCCTTGTGCTCTGCACCACCAGGAGACGCACCACCTTGCAGAATGCGTCGGCGCTTCATCCATTGGCCCTCCTGGCCGTCATGCTTTTCGTCAGCGAGCTCAACAAACGTGGCTGGCGTCCTCCGCCTCCTTTTCACCATCACCTCCTGCTCAAGCCCCCACCTGTCCCTCAATCGATTCGGTGCCTGCGCCAACCCCTCAGGATGCACGTCTCTTTTAGAGCCATTCACCGCCCTCTTGCCAGCGGCACCAGGAGATTTCTTTGCAGGCCCATTTTCAAGGCCATTGGCCTCTTCCTGTCGCTGGCTTCCCTTTGCGCCTTCCACCTGTGTCTGATCAGATGTGCCTGAACCTGAGCCCCACCCATTGGCAACCTGGCCCCGGCATTTCTCCATATTGTCTTTGCTCTGCGAGTCTGGCCCCACATTCTGCCAGCAATACAACAATCGATTACAGCGCAGCCCTGAAACTGCAAGGCCCATGCTGTAACACTCTGTCAGCTGCACCACAAGGAGTTACAGCAAGGACTTTTGTGTTATGGGGCAGTGTGTCACATGCACTGTTCAGCAGCAGCACATGGAACGTGTCAGAATAATTTTGGCAACACATAAATTACTCACAACAATAATAACAATAACGGTAGGAGATGATCACATGGTGTGTACACGGCAGCCAAGTGCTCCAGACAAACCCCAAGCACGAACCTGCCATCCATTCACAGTCTGTGTGCCATCCATGCAGTGCTGGTCCTGCCCTTCGGCTTCCAGTACATCAGAATCAGAGTCAAAGGTGTCCAATTTGTCAACCTGCTCAGACAACAATGGGTAGTGTAAGGCAAGCGACACAAATGTCGTGGAGTACTGTGGAGCATTATGCCACCCTGCACAACTGCAAAAATGCGAAAGGGCGACGGCTTCCATGTGTGCCAATGCAGTTCAGACCTCTGGCAACGAGATGCACGGCTCAGTGTTCGGCAAGCAAGGCACATCCATGTAACATGCACCTGGGCTACATGAGATTGACGTGGTTTTGCATTGTGAAAGTACCAGGTTTGGGGCGAAGCGGAGCTGAGCTCGCGTATGCATGGGCTACATTGGTTCGCGTGAAGCCTTCCCCATCACGCGGATTACCCAAACCCAAACCTAGAGCGTCATTCCCAGAGATACCCCCCACGTGGCGTCATACGGGCCCAGAAACTTGTGGGACGCCAACCCAGCCAAAATGTGAGCTTAGCCCCCTGAAAGAGTTACATTCCAAGGACACAATCCACCCGCCTGCACCAAGCAAACACATAGTGATACAAAATCTGCAAATGGAGTTCTCCCCATCGTTGTGTGGAGATGCAGGATCAGTGCTGTGATGCCTGCCACAAATGCAATCAAAAGATTGCCATCCTTGGTGGGTTCCATCAGAACATCTCTTGCTGCAGGGCAGGCATGCCAATGACTTGCCCAGGACGCAAACTCGAGAAATCCTGTGTTGTGTCTTTCCACAGCCAAACAAACAGTCCACTATGCTACTGGTTTCCCGTTCAGCTCTTTTGCGCTGTCTAAGCTGCATACGGCTTATTGTGCTCAGTGTGACAGCAAATCTTCACCCTGTCCCATGTCCCCTCTGGTCCAAGGGTTGCCCAACCTGGTTCAACTTATTATCCTCCGATAGAAGTGTGTTCTTTTTGAATCATGGACATGTGACCACAACAACCAAGAGAGTGTGTCGTTCGCACCAGGTACGTTTCCCCGTCGCTGTCTTGCATGATCTCAACATTTCCCTCATGCTGTTCCAGCAACTGCTCTTGTTTCATCATTCGCTGCTTGGACAGACAAATATGGAACTGGTGAGCACAGGCTGGTGCTCTGTGGACAGAGCTTGTGCGTGTGGCTATTTTGCCTGCCCAGCCAACTGTGCGGCCACCCTCCAAGAATCTGTGTATGGCCAATGGAATCATATCCAATACCACGATGTCCAAAGACAACATCCAAAAATCCAACAATCTGTGCAGACAGGCTGAATGCGTCGCCCCATGCGCAGTCCAGCGAATGAGGATGCCTATCATCAGCCTTAGGCTCAGGGATCTATTGATGCCAGGGACAAAAGAAAAACAAAGAAACACTTTTCAGCTGGACAGTTTGGCCATCTGTTGGCCATAATTCGTACAGATCCTCTCCCAGATACTGAAATAGAGAGGGCTGTAGCGGCTTGCTTTCACGTCCATCCCAATTGTGCAATCACTCCCAGCTAAAACAAGCAGGGAGGAAAAGAAAGTGCAAAATGCATTGCAAACATGAATACTGAGCCACAGGCATCAGACTCTACCATTTCGCCTTTCGGTTTTCGCCAACCAAATTGTTCTTGGCAATGCATACACCTACCGTGCATTGTCCGCTAAGCACAGGAAAATGAAATTTCTGTGTTGCCACAATGATACAAAAAGCTACTGCAAACAGGTCATTCAGGGCACTACAGTGATGTTGTTTGTGTCATTACCGATGTCCACAGAGTTGAGGCATTAAAGGGCAGTTCCTACGGCAGACCAGGAATTCGAGCTGCAGTGCGCTAATAGGCGGCCTGCATTTCTCACCTTGAACATTGCAGATTGTGCACCAAGATATCCCAGGCACTTGGCGGAGCCACAGCAGCACCTGCGTGCCTCAGCAACTTCAGCAACACCATAAGCCATGCCACAAACAGAACAACATGGTTGCAATCGTTCAAAATCGCCTTTGACAAGCCAAAGTGGTGCCCTTACGGGCGATGGCGGGTGTGTATGAACCAATGAATGTTTTCATGTCCCACATCTGTTCATTTTATCCATTCATTACCCGTGCTCTCAGACACCACTACATTGTTGATGTCCCAAGGCTGGTGAAGAAAAACACTCAACCATTTTACGCTTCTGCATTTTTGGCTATCATTTCCTGGCAGCTCATTCTAGACAATGGGATCAACCATGTCCACCCGAACCCAAAGTCCAATTAGAGTCAAGATGCCACTGGCTTTGCCTTGGAAGTGGTGCCCTCCACTTACACGACTCACCTGACGCGTTCACCTCCATTCCAGTCCAGGTTGTAATGGTAAGTCATCTCCTTGCCCTTTGGGACATCTTTAATCGCAAAGATTGCAATCCTCATCTCCCCCCGTACCGTCCATTTCTGAGTCTCACAATTGGGTTCACAGGAGTGGTTTATGAACCGCGAGAAGTTGCCCACCTCTGTTGCATCAATGACCTCGTATTGGCTGCAAAAATGGACATTGTTACTTGTTGCCAAGGTCGTCAGTATATCAAAACATAGATGAGAACTCTTCCAGCAAGGGGTCAGGAATTATGCTTTCAGTTACATAAACTCCTGAGTGCTGCGTTGTAAGGGCCCTGCATTGTGGCACTCAACTGGACAGGCACCTGTTATTTACAAAAGCAAAGGCGACCCATCCATTAAGGTAGGCATTTGTCATGAATTGGCAACAGGCAGGTGTCTTCTGTGGTATTCAGAAGGAAACATGCCAAAGTGGTAGGGCCTCTGAACACACCTCAAGTTCATGATGTAGGTGTGCCTGTCGCCCCTTGCCTCGTACTTTCGGCTGCGCCGATCCGCTTCTTCCAACTTGACAACCTCCCCTGACAGATGCAAGCATGTTGTCGTGTCTTCTTAACAAGGCCATACAGTCTGTGAAAGATGTGGGTGTTTCACAAGTCATGTGATGCCCCTTCCTCATCACAAGCAACATTTTATTAGATTCCATTCTGTACCATGGAAGAATGATGTGGAAGGCTTGCAGCTCATAAGCAAAAGCAGAAAACAGAGATAGCTCTCTGATACTATCCTGCACTGCACCATACTTCTTCTGCACCCTTTTGAACTTTAGTGTGAAATGCAGGTGCACAACACTGGGAACGGAAAGTGAGGTTATGCACCATTTGACAATATTACGCGTAGTAGTATCAGCTGAGGAAGGAGGCATTACACTACACTAGTATTGTTGGTGCATGGGATCTGACGAGCAATGGTGTGCCCTGCAGAGATAGGGCATGTATTTAATAAGCAATGACAGTTACGCCTCAGTCAAGCATAACGGCTGGGGCAGCTGTTGTTTCAGTTGTTTCATTTTTGGCAATCAGTACGATACAAAAGTGGTGACTGGTCTCACTCAAGGGACAGGCAAGGTTGTGGATGCACTCAGAGATTTGCTAGCACACAGGGGAGACATGACAACTGCTACTGGTTTCAACACAGACTGCAATTAACAACCAAAGCAGCAGCAGTACTTGGACTCTTAAAGACGAAGTAATGTTTTGAAACAGTAAAGGACAGAAAGCAGCACATACCAACGTACTCCGTAATGAGTGCTCCCGCTTTAATGTCCTCGTCGGCAACCACGCCCCACCCCTTGGGGCCTGTCATCACCAATCTGCACCAACATGCCATGTTTCCTTTTCACCACCGTCTCTACTTTGTCCATAGTCCTCTTGCAAGGAACTTTATAAAGCATCCATTTGGGGCTGCAATACGAAGTTGGTCTTTGGTTCTATCCACACTGCTTGTTTGATGGGGTTGTTCATTTCCTCTCAACTACATTTTCGCCTTACCATGCAGGAGGATGGTAGAGCCTTCAGCCATCAGGAATCAGAGACGTGCTGCGTATTGTGCATACATGTATTGTGCATATGTACTGTGCAGTGTGTTGTGCAAGTGTATTGTGCTGTGCATTGTGCGTATATGTGCATGTGTATACATGCTTTCATTCCCAACATCGCCTGCAGAGTGCAAGGATGTTGTCTTGTCCACACAACGCAGGCGCTGAGCTGCCCAGGAAGGCCAAACGCAAAGAGGCCACGCAAGTGCAGCACCGTCCTTGTGCAGCTGGACACGAAAAATCTCAGGACAACAAAACCCACAGACGCCCCGGCCACCAACTTGGGCCGGTTGCGCAGAAGCTCGAAAGATACCCTGATCGACAGGGCCGACGACGCAATGAAAGAACCGGCTTCCCAAAATTGTGTGCCGCCCGTGGGAACATCCCGCCCTGATCAGCCAACCACGAGGCACCCGCGAGTCGCCATGATGATCAACTGAGCCAGGCTCAGCTGTGTACGAACGCACATCACACGCGTAACTACCATCTCAACACACTGCGTCGAGTCGAATATGATACCATTCCAGAGGAGACGCACCGACGGCGAGACCCGAGGGGCCGATGCCGTCACGGGCCGTCGCGACTTCACGCCGCTCAGCTCCGGGCCCAGCCGTCGCCGCCAAACTCGAGGCCGCGCAGCGCGATTGCGCCACAAAGCCCGTCGGAATACGAAGCACCGCATGTGTGATTAGACCTCCCCCGCAGCCCCAGCGCCGAGCTGCGCGGCCGACGAATCACGCAAGCAACGGCCCCCCCTCCCTCCCCCGCGCACAATCCCGGGCTCTGATCCATCGCAGGTGCCCAACCATCTACTGCCACCGCTCCCCTCCCCCTTTGCCCACTCCCCCGGATAACATGGGCCCCATTACGGCCATGAGCAGCAAAATTGCGCACAGATTCTCCCTCCCACTGCCGCGCAACAGAAACCAAAAGCGCTCCTCTGCGTCCACGCCGCCCGCGCGCCGACGCTGCCCCCCCGCCCTACCTCGTCTCCGCGTACTCCTTCCTCTGCAGCCGCTGATTCTGGCACCGCTCCCCGCAGGGGCAGCACCCCGGCGTGCATTCAACATTGACGCAGCGGTTGAGGCAGCCTTCGCCGCAATCCAGCCCGCCCAGCTCCCTCGACCGGCAGTCGCACACGTACGCGTCCGACCGCTTGAACGGCGCCGGCGACCGATTGACGTACGTGTTCTTGGGCGTGTGCCGGTAGCGTGGCGGCTTGAGCACCAAATCACCCCCCTCCCCGTGCCCTGATCCGATCCCGCTCGCCCCCTTTCGCCGCTGTTTGCGCCGCGTTCCCGGTCGCCTGCCCTGGGGCCCGAGCATCTTGCGGCGGGGGGCATCTTTTGCATCTTCCGCATCTTTTGCCGACGCGGGGCTCGCCGGGGCGTCGCCGGGGATCCGATCGGCCTGTGGGGAGGGGGAAGGGCCGGCGGGGGGCTGCATGGCGCCGCGGGCGCCGGGCCACCCGCCGGGCGTTTGGGACAAGGACGGGAGTATGGGGGTGGTTTGTGCGCATGGGGCGGGCCCGTACAAGGGCCGGGGCATCGGAATTCGGGGGGGGATGCGCGGCGGGCTGCGCCACGGCAGGACGGTCAAACGCCCGGCAACGGGCGGAGGACTTGTGTGACCAGGACCAGGGGAAAGGACATCTGGAGCATCGGACGCCGGGGTGGGGGTGGGGGATTTGGCCGAGTGGCGTTCTGGGCGAATATCGGAACCTGTCAAGGACTGTCGAAATCCAATCGACGGTTAATGAACTGAATGGCTGTTAATGAATTTGTTGGCTGTTGATGTACCGCAGTCTCTTGGCCCCAGCCGGTGCCTCTTCGGTGGGCGGTGTGCCCCGAGACCGAACTTCCCAAACCGGGAAACAGGAAGGCTGCAGCTTTGGCGCAGAGGCTACCGTGTCATGTGTTGTCGGCACTGGTCGCCAGCGTTGGGAAACTAGTGCTGGACTTTAGACCGTGACAAGGAAAAGTGGTGATCGGCGTGATGGACCTGATGTGAGCATTGCAACTGGTTGCAGGTGGTGGCAGCCATGTGGACGGCGTTGAGTGCTGTCAAGGAAGCAGCAGGGAGTGGTGCTCTTAGCCATGCCAGTTACATCCTGACGCTGTCATGTCATGTCCTGGTAGATGGACAGCATCAGTAGTCCAAGACAAACAGCTCTTTTCCAGCAAGGGAGGGAGGAGGGGCTACGGTAATGATGCAACACTTCTGTTGCAACAATGGAGGATGCACTTCACTTGCCATGCTAGTTTAGTTTGTCAAACTACGCAACGCTGTTGGCCTTTCAACCGAACCATCTCCGCAGTACTCTCATTGTTTGCAGGCCCCAAGGAGACACCTTCAGCACAAAGGTCAAACTGACATTCTTTAGGGAAGGTTGCTTTGGCCTACTTGAGTCTGCTTAATTGCAGGTGCGGCCGGCGTACGGTTTGCCTACTTTTCATTCTTTCCGCCCAGTCTCTTGGTTGATTCACTCCAAACAAGATGCAGGGCCACCGGCCTGAAAAATGTAGACGTTTTCTTAGTACCGATTGGCGAATTGTCCAGCCACAACAGCGTTGTGGCAACAGTGGATTCAGGGACATTCAGGGTCCTCTCTTGAACCACTTGACAAGATGGCTGGCTGTTCAATGCGCCCAGCTTCGTTCTTGATATTGACTGTTGCCCAATTCAACAACACCGGGGATGTTCGTCCTCAATCATACCCACGCCTACACGCCTGCGCAGCGCCAATCGAGGAGCAAAATCTGCAAGTGACAGCTAGCTGTGATGAAACTTGTTCAACGTGTATTTATGTGGCATACGTAAGACTGCAATCGAAGGTGGAGTGCTCGCCATTGGGCAGCTTGTGAAGAACACAACTTGTGAAAAGCCCTGGTGACACCAATCAAGTTAACAAATCTTGCATCTACTATCGTACAACCGTCCACCAGCATTGCCACGCACACAAAATTCATCGCCACCAGCGCGCAGAGAGCAACTCGAACCCCAGTGTACCCATACTTCCTGTGCGCATTCAGGACCATCCCGCGCATCCCAACCCCAGAACTGAAATCGAAACGACGTTGTTGTTTTTGACCACAAGTCGGGAGCCCTGCTGGAACAACAGCAAACCCCTACTACTTGCAGCTCGGGAAGGAGTCACCAGTCACGTCAAATTGACGCCCCTGGCGCCTGTGCTTCGGCACATGTACGTCTCGCGGTCTTCTGGTCGGCTGGAACTGAAGATAGACGCATAGACATGCTTCGAGGCGTTCGCAGGAGTGAAATCGGTGGCCTTCACTTTCTTTGGCCCTGCGCTGTTGTTCTGCGCACCAACGAGGGACACTGTGTTATGGGGGACTGCACCATGCTTCAATTTGCCCAAGCAAAGATTCTGCTCATCGGCAGGAATTGTGAATGCGATCATTCACTTGGAAATGTAGCCACCGACACACTGTTCCTTTTGCATGGTTGCATGGTGAAATGGGCCCCGCGCGTGACTTACTACTAACGGCATTACACCAGCGTAAAGGAGCGCGATGCCACCCATTCGCCGTGATTTCGGGCTCTTTATGAAGCCAACAGCTTTGTGAAAGCCTATGTTGCATGCGGGGCACTACAGAATGCGCACAAGCTGCAAGCAATGCCAAACCTTTGATCAGCAACGCCTTTTCAACTGCCTATTGGGCTATAAGATGCACAGCGCCGGCACACAACAGCGTTCCAGCCCGCCCACGTCCCAGCTGACACGCCATGAACACTATTGCGATTGGAATGCGCCAAGAGGTGTGGTATCGTGTGTGGTGCATGAACACAATCACTGCATTTACCTGTGGTTGCTGGTCCTCCCCCGGGCGACTCCGCTTCCTTCCCTTCTTTCCCTACTCACGAGCAATAAGCAACCACCTGTGAGGTACAATCTTTTGGGCATCGTCGATCCACAAGCACAGCCGTATTTTGAGCAAGCCACAAGATTGCTTGCGTCCCTGACATACACAGCTTTCACAACTGGTTTTGTATGGATGGAGTGTGGGTACTCCTCACAGGGCAACTCGTTCAGCCCGCTTGTCTGTGCCTGTACCGCCACAGCCAATCAGCCTGCAAAAACCTCGTCTGCTCAGTTACCACTGTCAGGCCACCGCGCCAGCAAGTAACAAAATTGTTGACTACGAATTGCTCGTTCCCCATAACCCAGCTGGTTTTCAAAAACAGTTCTTGAAGATGGTCTTCTTCTTGGTGCAAAAAGAGGCTGCAGTGCCCTTAGTCACTAGATACACATGTGAATGGGCATGTTCTGTGCGAATGTGTCACACAGTGATGCGACACTAATATGCAAAAGCTACCATCTAGTGACACAGGAACTGGCTTTCACTGGTCAAACTCACCTTAGCAGCCTGTCGCCTCTTGATCATCCTCTCCCTCAAAACATCCACTTCTTCTTCTGTCCCATTGATTGGGATGACGTCCTCGGCTTCCCATTTCTCACCCACCAAGTCCTCCACAACCTGTGGGAACTCCTTCAGCGCTTTCTGGCTCACAACATGCCCAGTCTTGCGAAGTGCTGAAAAGCCAAACTTGCCTGTGAAGCCAAGTCCTACAGTGAAGCCACACACACTGGACTTGTTAGCACTATGATTGTTGTTACCTGTGCTGTCTTGAATTGCTTTTCACTGTGAGGAACATGCAGCATTTCACACAGAATGTGCAATTCGGATCCAAAATGAAATTCCCACAAACTGATTTACACACCTTGAAGATCATCAAACCCCACAAAAGTTCAACAACAGATTCGCAATCAGAAGATGGCTGTTGTACAACCATGCACCCCAACAAAGCAACTACACAAGTTAACTTGTTCGCCTGTAAACAGCTGTGCTCCCACACAACCACACAACACCATATTTCTGCTTTCGTGCCTCTGCATCGCCCTTGGGTTCTGTGAATAGGCAATACAACACCCAATTTTTGCTAAACCCAATTGCAGCGGACTCTCGATCAACGTTGCACAACAGCAGCAGCAACAGTAAAGGCAACGGAATCCCATGCGTCAAGGTGAGTCCACAGCAGCAGGGGCAGGTCCTCATCTGCCCTGTGGCCATCATGCCTGTGCACTCAAGCAATCCTGCCACCCACTTCATACATGCTAATCTGGGGGCAGTCCAAAGAGTGCTTGGACCACTGAAATCTTATTCCCCTTGGTGGTCAATGTACACGAACCCAAGAATAAACTACTAAAAAGACTCGCAGTTTAAAGAAAGGCTGCAGCTTTCACTGCAATGCCAGTTTGGGAAAACACACGTAAGCTTACCGGTCACAGGGCACTGAAACAATGGCTCTTTGCTGGCAGTGTAGTTCTCACCATTTGTTGCAACAGTTTTCCTGAAGAGGGAAAACACCAGTTTTCAATTCCACATCAAACTAACAATGCCCACAGGTGTGGATCAGTGAGGATGCACACATTGGGTGTACATGCCTGGCGATACATCACTGTTTTGGTTGCAGATGGTGGCTGTAATGGTTGTTATGGTAATGGATTCCCGCAGGAAGCACCATAGCACCACCAAAAGCACAACAGGTCATGCTCTTCACAGATGTGCCAATGCTGGACATTCAACCACCTCTAACGCTGCAACGAGGTGACAATCAATGGCAGTTTGTGGCCACAGCCAAGGCACCGTGGTGTGAAGCTTCCTGAGGTCACTGCAGATCCCTAAGCTTCGATGTAGCCCCAGTGTAGCTGGTTGGCAGTGACACATGCAAAGGCAACCATCGCTCACCAAGCTGAGCGTACAGATACATGAATCGCACTGTAGTGAAGCTGGTACTACTGCGGAGCTCTTGGCTCATTGAGTGAATATTGGGTGGATCTACTCGCTTCCATCGCCGCGTGCAAGGTACTTTTGTATGCGAAGTTACTAAGTTCTGATCAAGAAACAACGTTGCAATTCATGGAATTCAATTCCAGCAATCAACATTGACCATTTTCACCACCTGGTTGGGTTAGCTGTCAACTTTAGGTCCACGAGGTGCTTCAGGCTGGTGATGTGACCCAACGATGGTGGCAGTGACTTGTGCACCAGCCCCTTCAGTATGGCCTCTTTGTTGAAGAGGGTGCCAAGCTCATCGCACACGCACGGGGCCCCTAGGGGTTCTCCAGACAGCTGGCAGCAGCTCCAACGTGCGAAATTCTCCTCACTAGGATCGACCTGCAGGGGCAAAGAAGCGGCCAAGTGAATATCACTGAAATAATGTGTACATTATGGCAAAGTGAAAACAAAATCACTGGTCAGAGCACTCCCGCTAACGAGTTCAGATCATCGGGTAGCATCGGTTTGCAGTTGATCGTCAAGGACCTCACAATAAGTCCACAAGGATGTAGAAGAATGAATTGATTGTAGGTGGTGCCCAAATTGTAGTTAGCTTGGGAAATGGACATTGAAGTTTACATTCTCCAGGTGCCTGCAGTTCACTGCCTCAACATCGAAATATATCTGTTCATGTCTCTACAACTGATGAAATAGTGTCTGCTTACTTGTTACAAGCACACAGCAAGACGTTTGGCCCACAAAATTGTCATTACTTGCTCATGACAGCAGCTGCTGTTGACTGCGACAGCAGATAATGTGCAGGCAATTGTCCTGTGACATCATCGCTGGCAGCACTGCAGACTGCGCATGGATATGAAAAGTAGGGCCCCCACAGAGCGACGACCGCAACAATCTTGTACAAGCACCATGCCTTGCCCACTCCATTTACACTTGCCACGTTCACTGAGGTGAGAATGCCTCTATCCTCATGCACAAAAATGGCAAAAAAGACACTGGCAATTTCACGCTGCCCCCCGAATTCATATTATCAGACAAGTCCGTTTGCCAACAGTCTGCAAGGACCTCACAATGCTGATATGAAGCACAACTCTGCACACAAGCCATCACGTGCATTAAGGAAAACTTTGCCAGACATACAGTGTACTTATTCAACGAGAATATGAGCTGATCTGCCTTGGCTGCATTTGTCACCACATGACAAAGCGTTGTCAAGGCAATTATGAGCACTATTGCTGTTGCCACTGCCATGTCATCATTCTGTGCACAGGGCATAGTAATTTGCACCCAAAGTTCCGTTTGAAACTGACAGGAATGACCACACAACTGTCCTTCGTATTCCTCACTGTTGCAAGCTCAGCAAGGGCTCTCAGCCAAATCCTAAAGGATGGGCAAAACCTGTACCACCTTCACAGGTGGCATTGCTCCCATATTGTGGACACAGTAATCACTGTTCAGCCAACTGGCAATCATTGGCTACAACACCAATAGGGGAATTAGTTGAGCACGTGACCAGCGCCAAATACCACTGAAGAGGCGTGACTGCGATGCTTGCCAACAATTTCGACAGTACGATCTAAGTGCAGATCAAAAGGCACGGTTGCCCTGTTGATGCTTTTGGAAGGTATTGAGCAGCTGTGCAACAGCAAAGGGGCTGGTAAGCACTCACTTTGTCTGCCTTTTTCGTCTTGTACATCTCCAGGTAGCAGTCCCTGGACTCTGCACCAGTGGAGCCACCATCGCCTCCTCCTCCTCTCAATGTGGGTGACAGGTCCAGTTGAGCCCCATGGTACAGGCCCTGCTCCAAGAGCGGCACGCCATCCTGCAAGAATCCCTGGAAGAATTTCTTGAGTCTCTGCATCAGATTCAACAAACCCCAGTCAGGCGATATCATCGTATTGAACATCTTCACGGTTCAGTCACGCCAACCATGCACTTTCTTCTCCATCCGACCCGCACATTCACCGAGCTGTTCACATCCGTGGCAACCGCAGACCATGCGCGCTGCATGTTATCCCCAGTGCAATTGCAGGCTGCTCCATCATCTTCCACAGCATGCAAAGCAATATCGCAGACTTGCTTGCTCTGTGGCGCAAGGATGGGCATGCTTTGCGCAGTGCCGCGTTTCCCTGTCCGCTCAAACGACGACCTCCGCCAGCGGCGGCACCACGGGCACAGGCAACAAGCACCACGGCGCGCTGACAGGCGAGATCGTCGAGCGCCCCACACCCCCAGCGCCACAGTTCTCCGTCCCGCGGGCCAGCAGCAGCCCGCAAGGGACAGGGGCCGAGGGCAATGCAGATGGCCCCTGCGCCGCGTGCACAAAGACACCAGATGGCCAGGACGTCCCGCAGCGAGTTCTAGAATTTACCGCGGGAGTCCCGCGCGCGCGTACGACTCACCATCCTATGCCACGGCAGGGGCAGGCCAACCTTGTCGGTGAGCTGCTGCCGCAGGGCCTCCGGCG